CCTCCTGCATCAAAATATGAGTTTTCATAAAAAGTGGACTTAACATTTTTTCACTCTAAGCTAGTAATATATATATTTTTTTAATTTAAAAAAATCAAAAATATAAAACTTTGCTCATGCTTCGCCAAAAACGCCTTCTAAAATATATTCTAAGATTGAATTTAGTCAAATTAAGTCAAAATTATAGTCTATCCTCAGGCGCCAATTACACTCTAACCTCTGTACTTTTATTTTTGTGTATTTTTATATGAAACTCGTAGTGTAGATAGCTTAATGCTTCTGCATTCGCAAACAGTTTATATATTGAGACTGATTTTATTAAAGTCTCAATTTCAAACAAATAATGAAAAATCAGAATTTCTGCTGATAAAAGAGTGGTCTCGCCGAAAGTTTAGTTACTTCCATGCTCTACTATCGAAGATCGAACGTTCACCTAAACTCCATTTATGGTCATCTCATCGCCCTCAAACCAAAATTGGCATCCATATGCAGCAGACAGATCTACAATGTATGTATCTATACTGAGCTACCAATAAATTCTTACAACCAATTTTGCAAAACTACACTTCCACATTATATCCTTAAGCTCTTCTGCATATCTCGCTAAACTGCTGTGAATTTTTTCACTTAACAACCACGCAGCGTATGCCAAGAACGCATTGCATTCGAGCAAGCAAAAAACTACATCCACTGAGTGTAACTACTCAACTTGCGCTCGAAAGGCTGCCAAAACAACTGGATGAGTCATTCAGCCACCAACCACGCCTAACTATGCACATATGTATGTATGTATGTAGATACATAAACAACGATTTGGCCAAAATCCAGCTGTCTGAGCGAGACACTTAACTGCACTTTTATTGCAGCAAAAGAAGAAGAATCGGCGATGTAATAAGAGATATGTATGTAATTTATCTTTTTTTTCTGCAAAACCATTTCCGTTAATAAAAATGAAGTGCAAAAATACGACGCATAGAAGAAAAAGAGCTAAATTCGTGCTTCAAAAATATTCTATACAGCAAGGACTGACTATCGTCCTCGCAGAACAAAAATTTCGTTGAGGTCAGACACTTTTGCATGTCAAAGGAAAGTACATAAGTACAACGAACGCTTTTTGTGCTAACAAAATATGTACAGGAACACATACACATACATACACCTGCGCGCTTAAACTCTGTAAGCGACATAAACTTCAATTTGTCCAATCAAGTTTGTACAAATATCCCACGCTTACATATATGTAACTACAGATACAGTTACAGTGTACATGTATACACGAGCATACAATTGCCATGGCTACACGCAATAGCTCGCCCACGCCACGAATGCGCCCCCGAACGAGAATGGCCATGACAGCCCGCAGCCCCACTGCTAACCCTTAACTCGAAAGAGCCTTGAAAAAGTTCATAATGCCGTGGAAATTGATTTCACAATTACAACAAAAAAAGAAACAAAAACAGGCAACAACACAACAATGAAGGAGTTAACAAATGATGTTACAAAAGAAGCTTGCAGAAAAAGGTAAAAAAGAAAGAACGCCACAAAAGAAGAATGCAAATGAAAGTGGAATTGAATGAATGAATAAAATGCTCTTCTCATCTTCTTGTCATCATTGATCTTCCATTTGTATGTATGTACATAGAAAATTCTATTCAATATATTTTTGATTTATTGCTGCTGATTATTTAACAAAAAAGCGAATTGTGTCAGAGTAACAACTACATATTGATTTTATTCTTTTGCTGAATCAAGCAGAAGTTGTGAATGTATATAAGAAAGAGCAAAAGGGAGAAAAATCATTTGTCATGACGGAGTGTGCGATTGCGCTTTCCATTAGATACGCTCGGAGTGATTTAACAAGAGCCACGACTCCACAAAAAAATCCTGTAACTATCAGTAGTGGTTTGCTACGGGCTCTGCGAATTTCTAGACAAATGATAAGTGTGCCTAAGAATATGCAACGTCTCTAGGGTAGCATTAGTTATCTGCCTTTCTGCTGTGGTATTGCCCCTCTTTGGCTTTCATGTTGCATATTTTTCGGCGCATTTACTAGTCATTGTTTAGAGGTTTCCGAGCGTAGAAGTTAAGCGCTACGCTTTTAAAATCCCACTTCTGATTTTTGGAATACACTTTTGGTAAAATGATATCTTCTGTTTCATACAAAGTGTGTCCGATGATGAGCTAAGTATCATATATGAATGTAGAATCAAAAATAAATAAATACAAGCAGTTTTTTGACACTAGTAAACTTGGAATCTTAGTTTGCTGCTAACCCTTAAAATAGCATCTTATTAACAGATAAAATAGTATCTGTTTGGAAATATATTCAGTGCAAATACTCGGTTACTCAATGTATGGTTAACACTAACTACAGGTTAAACATCGTTATCGACCTCCTATTATATGTTATGAAGTTTAACGATGTTTAACTAGTAGTTAGTGTTGCGGCATTGTTTCCTTTCACATATCTAGCAGTTTTCAGACGGTGTATTTTGTTCCTAAGTGTTCAGAAAACAAATATAATGCCTCACACTTCAATTCTATATTGGCTTAGTCCTCTACCTTTCCTTGGGCTATCATCGAAGATCAATCTTAAGGCGAGCCTATTGTGAAATTCAAGTTTTCAACTTGAGTACACTGCTTTGGGAATATTTTATCAAATCAAAACATTTGTACCGACTTCAACAACTATCCCCAATTTAGTTTACCTTGATCTTTAATTTTCGTTTTTTCCCATGACCATAGAAATGAAGAAAGAGAAAGGGTAAGTCAGTATCAGAAAAAACTGTCAAAGACCTTTCTTACAACTTCAAAAGATTCTATAGAGAAACAATTTTGTCGGTATTTCCACGGATTTTAGTAAAGTATCATGTCTACAGGAGATTATAAAACTCTGTACAAAAAAAATGTACAATATTTAAAAATATATATATATTTTGTAAAATATTTAAAAATATATATATATTTTGTAAAAATGTACAATATTTACGTCTAAAATTATATACTAAGAGATGTAATATGAAAGCTTTTCACTTTGCAGGTTTGCGTCTTGGATTGTTGAATATTTTTAGGCACAATTTTTTCACAACTAAAGAAGTAAATTTGGAGTATCGCCAAGGCGAGAATATGAGCCCTGAGAGAATCACTCCAAAGTAACAACTAGGCTTACGGCATGAGGACGACTATCTTGCCTTATCTTAGCAACTACCAGCGGGACTCTGAAGCTGCTGTCCAACGCTGAGAGATCGGACTAGCTTTAGACTGAACCAAAGAGCTGTTAAAATACCCCAAACTGTTGCGAAGACGAACCCTAGCTACTGCGAGTTTGGAGATCATTTTTGTCACTTACTACTACTTATTTGAACTGGAATATAAGGCTGAACGCATAGTACAGCGGCGAGCAAAGCGATGAGCATAGCATCGAACAAAGCATCAATTACAAACGTGTTTGTACGCTTTGCTCTTCACTATGTGCGCTCCCACTGGAACATATACGTTTGTAATCGACGCTTTGTTCGCTGCTCTTTTCTCGCCGCTCCACTATACGCCTAGCCTAAAACTTTCCAATTTCAGTATGCACCAGTTTTAAGTCTGTATTCCAGCACAACTGCAATGAAATACCAAATCTAAGAGATACAAGAAAGGTGGTTTATATATCTCCCAGATTTACTAGTTTTAAAGAGCTTTGAACCATAGTCCTAGGTATCAACTTAAATTTTTTTTAAGTAAAAATTTGCGGGTACTTCAAGAAAATTCTGTATGCAACCTTTCTGCAGCCTAAACACTCATAAACACGTCGCCTTCCCCCTCTCCCAACAGCGGTAAACCAACTACTCATTTACAACAATGTTTTCCAGCTCGTAATTTCTTGTGTCTCTTTTGTAGGCACATAAAAGTTATTTTATTACCATTTTTTTGCACTCGAAGCATTTTCGACACTCCACGAGCACGTCGCGGCGAGTGGTGGACGGGGGCCGCATATTTGTAAGCCAAATTCAAACGAGCGAAAATGTCATTTCTCCTTTAACAATAAATGTAGACAATCCCTATGCGCAATTTGGCTGTTGCTTACTTTCTACCCAGTTTTATGGCTTTTTATTTACTGTAACTGCAACCCCTGGTCAACTTTCTCTGAAAGCTACGCCAAGGGCGAGCGCGGGGTATAAATGAGTTTGAAAAAATATTACCACTGTCGCTGGTCACCGCAAAAGCAGGACTTATAAGCAAAGGCAAACCAAACAGAAAAAGAAAGCGAAAAACAACAACTGCAACAAAAGCAACAACAACAACATAAGCAACCAAACGAGTAAGGACCAACGGAGCATTATAATTATTTCAGTGACCACAACAAGAGACAAAACAACTACAACAACGATAATCACGAAGCATATTGAAACGAAAAGACAGTGCAAGCAACAACACCGAAGCAAGCATAAATAAGAAACCAACCAAGCAATAAAAACAACAGCATTACCAAGTGAAGCAAAAGCAGAAGAGGCAGCAATGGCGGTGAGCAAAAAAGGTCATAAAAACGACGAAGCATCAGGGCAAACGGTAAAAACCGACAGCCCAAACAGCCCAAACGACGTTGCGAGCGACGATGATGGTGAGTGAAGCCTGAAAGGTGAACGGAAAGCAGCAAAGGCAAAGTGCGGAGTTGTTGGTACGGCGCGCTACGAGTTCTCGCAGGACATTCGAGGCATAGTCAGTTTGGAGTACATACCACACTTTTGTATGTATGTAAGTAGTTATGTGTATATACAGATACACTTATACATAAACAAACGGCTATACTTACACATGTACATACATATGTGAGGATTTTATTAATAATCATGACTCACTCACCTGTACATTTAGGCAATTTGTCGCACAGATGACAGTTAAAGCCAGCAGGCCAAGACTGAATTTTCGTGATTTTAACATTTTTGCACAATGTTTTTTGTTTTTGAAATTTTTATTCGCTTTTGGAGTCTAACAAACTATTGTTTTTGTTATTGTTTTTTTTCACGAAAGTTTAAATGGTTTTCACTGTATTTGAAGGATTTAAAGTTTTTGCAGAAAGCATTAATTTTTATGGAAACTTAGAAAAAATCTCTCGAGAAAGTTTATAGCAACGGAATTAAATTTAAATAATTATAAAGTTAAGAGCAAAAACTTAAAAAACAGAAATTACCTTTTTAAATTAAATTTTTAGATAAGAAATTAATTTAAATAATTTCAGTTAGTTATGTTTTATTTAAACACTACAAGGCTTTTGTAACAGGAAAATTTTTGCACAAAAGTAGAAGTATGTAAAACAAAAAAAAAAAATTGGAAAATTTGTTTTTGCAAATTTAGTAAAAAGTATTAACAATCTTCTTGTAATTATCTAAGAAAATTTTTAGGCAAAGTTTTTATTCTAGAAAATTATTAGATAATTAATTTAACCGAAAAAAAGTAAAAATATTTATACAAATTAAATATATAGATTTTAAAAAAAACTTAAGATTTAAGCTCCAAAACTATTTTTATAAAAAAAATACATAAATTCAATTTTCATTCAATATTTTTTAGATTTTTCTCGGTTCGTTTTTATTAAAGTTTACAAAGGCTGATATTTGTGTTATGAGTCTTTCAGTCTAATAACTTAAATCTATTATCATTTCGTTGGTTAAGCTGCGTTAAAAGTTTTATTTCGGCACACAAATTTAAATATTTCACTTTTCAGTAAGATCTTTTAGGAACCTTTTTTTTAAACTTTTGCCGCACTGTCAAAATTTCAAGAATGAGTATTTCGAACTTTGAGTTTTTCAGTTTCGAGTTTTCCCAAAAATTTTCAAAAACACAGAAATGTCGAATTTCACTATGCGCCCAAAAGTATGCAACGATTTTCAAGTGTAAAACTAAAGACTCTGGCGCAGACACAACGCAATTAACTTAGCTCGCTGATTTTTAGCTGCAAATCGTTTGTCTTGGCTGCCGCGGCCACTCAATAGCACTGCAGCACGAACACCGCCAACTACTTAATTCAACACTTCTTGCATTTTTTTTTGCTTTCGTTTTATTTAATATTTGCACAATTTTCGTATTTTCCACAAACTTCTGCCGTCTGCACTTTTTAGTAGTTTTTTCTGCAACTATTACTTTGTTTTTGTTGTTCGTCGTTGTGGCTCGACTGGTTACGCACAGCAAGCAGCGGTTGCTCGCTTAAATAATATGAAAAAAATCGAAACTGTCAGTCACACCCCTGAACGAGAAAAATGTGTGCGACATCGCCGCCACTGCCCCGCTTGCTGCATACTTTTGCGGCGTCGCTTGGGGACGAACAGACTTGGCATGAAAAATTTTGAAGTATTTTCAAGCGTTTGTGGAAAATTGCAAATTTTTATGTAGCCAATTTTCAGGCGCAGATTTACACGAATGATATAATTTGTCGCTGCGAGTTTATCGTTTTACAGTCAATGAAAATTGAAGCTGTGAAAAAACTCCAGTTCGAAATTGGTGGCCTCTTATGCAGCAGCAGAAAAAATTCCAATTCACACTTTTACAGAATTCTCCTGCCCACCAATTACTAACCGCTGTCACAGAAATTAGTTTTCACAACACTCGTAGGCTTTATTTTTCAAGTCTTCAGTTAATCCACTTTAGTTTTTGATAATTTATCGCTTTTTGCCCATTAGCAAATTGCGAATTGTTTGCTTTAATAAAGTAAATTGAAAGAAAATTAATTTTTTCTTTGCTTACTCTGCAATCAACTCATTCGGTTGTTCGCCCGTTCGTTTGCTACGCTTCGGTTCGTTTGAATGAAACTCTTACAAATGTCGACAACGACAGTTTGGTGTATGGAAAAATTTTGCATTTAGCCATCACCTTTAAGGCTGTCAGCGGCAGTTAGCGTCCTTCTGCGCAGACGTCGCTCTCCAATACCGTTAGCTGTGCGAATGTGTGGAATGTAAGTGCAAAATTCAATATTTACATCGAATTCGAATAGGGTGTTTTTGGTTTCGCAGGGTTGATTTTTATGAAGGCGCTACAAAATTATAAGAAATTTTTTTCGTTTTTTAAACAGGAGCTCGAAATCTTCTGGAAATAATTTCGGCTTCCCCATCTTCGATCGCCTTCCATTTTGGACATACTTTTAGGCATCAAGACCCTCCGTTAAACTATAGTTGAAGAAGAACTGGCTAAAGCAAGAAATAATTCGCTTAAAATTAGATATGCAATATGAGAACCATGGGCTAGTGGCATAGTTATACTTCTCACACGAGTTATGCAACCATTTAAATCGGCGATGGGCACTGCCTCGACCGCGTGCAAAGCCCTTTTAAGCTTACTATATAGGCGCGCGCAGAGTAAAAGCTCTATCTGCTCATCGCTGATTTAAATGCATTACTTAAGGATAAATTTTATGGAATTTCCATTCATCGTGGAGTATGAGGGAGTTTAGTATGAAACGAGTGCTAAGAATCAGGCAATGGTGGGTACTTCCTGGATGCTTCCATTTATGTTACTTTAAGGCAACCGTGCCGTATATATTTTAGAGAAAAAGCTTTGATAATCAAAAGTTACTATTATTAAATCGACCTACATATAGAGAAGTGATACTCAGAGAGAGCTTTTACTCTGTGCGCGTGCATATTAAAACTACAGAGAGCTGTGAGGAGCTCCGCCAACGGGCGCTGTTTTGACCATCACTGATCCATACAAATGTATAGAAAGCTTAAAAGAGCTTTGCCCGTGGGCAAGGCGGTGCCCATCACCGGTCTATACTCATTCTATAGAAAACTGGAAAAGCTCTGATCGCTGGATATCTTTGAGTATGATTGGTTTAGATATAATTATTTTAGGCGTTTACGATGATCGAAGCGCTTCGAACCTGCCATGACAACATCATAATCGTTAGACCAGAGCTACCGGGCTTTTCTAAGTTGTCTATACATTTCATATAAAGGGTGATGGAGTTTTTTTTAAAGCAATTATTTGTGACACGTTAATGTCTTTTTTTTTAGACAATTTATACCCAACTTTTACTGGTCTAAATTAGATGGAATGGACTTCGTCAATATGTAGCTTCACAGCGCATGAAACAATGGTCCTATAGCCAACATCTGCGGTCTTATTGAATCGCCGTATAGATGAGCATGAGGCAAAAGCTCTGTCTGGTCAACACACGCTTGGAAACCATGACATTTTGTAAAATACAGTAGGAGAGCTTGAAATGTAGAAATTTTAAAGATTTTCGAACATAATTTGCGGTATATACACACTGCATATGTACATATGTAGATATGTCGATATGTTTTGGTTTTTTTCGAAAAGCGATTATTATGTACATAAAACGAATTACTAAGCCAAAAAGTGTCAACACTACAGTAGAGCGTGTTAAAAATAGCTTGAGAGCGGACAGCTGGAAAGAGACCTACCAAACGAAGTGCAGATAAAGAAGGAGCGCACAGTAGGCCGCGTGAGCGCAGGCAGGCGCACATCCGCCATGCTCTGCAATTCAAGGCATGCGCAGTGCAAATG